TCTTTCTGGGGCGTTCTCCAAAAACCAAAGTCGGGCTCATATGAGAGTTCGCTGCTCCCGCGATTCAAACTCGATCGAGATAAAGGCGATGTTCTCGGCGCAGAACTGGAACGTGTATAAATACTTCTCCAGCTTCTGTCTTTCTCTTCTCTACAACACTTCCGAATCTAGAGTCCAAAAATAAAGAGCGAGGGACATTGATGGCTGCGGCCCTGCTCTTCCCCTCGATTGTTGTCTAAAACCCTTGACCAATAACTTCATGGAGTGCGTTGCTCTCGTTCACCAAAACTTACGGTGGATCATGTGTGCTCTTAGCGCAGGACTGGGACCTGTATAAATACCCTTTGGGATTCTTGTACTACTCTTCTCTCCAACACCTCCAGTCTTGGAGTCCAAAAATCGGCATCGGCAAGACCATGGTCTTGGCTTGCTCTCTTTTCCCTTATTATTTTCCAAAAAGTATCAATGACAGCGACATGGCGTGCGCTGCTCGTTCACAGAATTATTGAATGCGATTTCTTATAGTGATGATGATGATCGTCATCATCATCGTCAACTCTCAAATGCCCCAACCACACGCCATCAATACTTCCCTACTATCGTACACATGCGATCCAACTTTCCTTCTATACCCAAACGATCCACCTCTTCACCCAGCCCCTCCCCATCTCACCCCTCCTACTTCGTCTTCGGCTTAACCTGAAAAAAACTACTCATCTTCTTCATCCCACTCGTATCCACCTTCTTCAGCGCCTTAACCCCCCTCCCCTCACTCTTCTTCTTCCTCTCCTCATCCTCCTTCTTCCGCTTCTTCTCTTCCCTTTCCGCAATCTTCTCATCGTCTTCTTCAATCGCCCTCTTCCGGGAGATATTGTCTGATATGCTGCGTAGAGACAGCGCTTCGGATTTTAGAGCGGAGATGGCGGAGAGGTGGGTGTCGAGGGGTGTGAAGCGTGGGGCTAGGAGGGCGAGTAAGGGTGTGCGGAGGGAAGGGGGCGTGTAGGAGGAGAGGAGGTAGGCTAGGGATGTGCGGAGGCGGAGGAGGTGGGGGATCTCGGGGGGTGTTGTGAGGGTAGGTTTTGATGGGGCGTCGTCGGGTGGTGTTGTTGTTGTAGTGACGCTTGTTTGCGAGTCGACTATTGTGCTGTTCTCCTTCTCTGCGTCTCCGTCGGGCGTTGTTGTGGTGGTTAGTGTGCTTTCCTCGCGCTTTATGCTCATGATGGGTATCTCCAGGGCTGTCTTGATGAATCTCTCCTCCATCGACGGTGGCAATCCTTTCTTGACCATGCGTTCGGCTTTTGCGAGAAGGACTTCGAGGAGCTTGGGGTGCGAGAGCCGGTACATGGACTCTTCGCCTGCGTCGACTGTGTCGCATATCTTCCGCATCCTGGTTTCTATCATAGTCTTGAGGGTGGGGTATTGCGATAACAGCGCTTTCCAATGTGGTGAAGCGGATGAGAGTGCGTCGAGGTAGTCATCGAAGGCGAGGAAGTGCTGTTTCGTGTCTTTTGCTGACTTTGGTGTGAGGGCGGGGAGGATGAGGAAGAGGACGTCGATGTGTGTTGCGATGAACAGATCGGCGGATTTGGTGATGTAGCCGCTGCCTATCCGTGAGGCGTCTGTCTCCTCTGCGGTGTCATCCTCGCTCTTCTCTCCTGTTATCAACCAACTCTTGAAGTCTTTCTTCGGCGCAGCGATGCGCGTGAACTCGTAGAAGCCTTTCTGCGGGCAGAAGTAGTATCGTGATGGTGTATCGTTTGCGGGGTTGTCGAGGCTGACTATTCGCGCGTCTTTGGATGTGTCTTTTGGCAGAACGAACAGCTTCGGGGGGTTCGATGTGCTTGCGGGCAGCGGTTTGGCTGTGGTAGTGGGTTCAGGCGTGGATTCTTTAGGCGTGGCCTTTGTGGGTTTCGAGCGTGTGCGTGCCATTGCGAGGTGTCTGCTGGTCCAATTGGGCATATACAGTATTGAAAGTGGTGTCTCGAATTCGTGGTAGAATCGGAGGTCAGGCGCGTCGCGTGGGCGCAACCTTACACGCGCAATCCCTGTCACGTCACGGTTTCGGATTAGATTAGTCTGGGGTGAACCACAGTCCGGTGTCAACAAACGCTACGGGGCCGGGCTATGCGCTTGTGAGTCCTGCCTGACGATCGACTGTTTCCCATCTTGCTTTTCCCGCTTTCCAGTATTGGCGTTGCTATGGGCCACTGCGAGATCGCGCATCCGATATTGCACCATCACAACAATGATCGTGCGGGAGAGCCCCAAGTCAAAAGGTAAGTCGCCCATGCGAAGATGCCCGGCATGCGCTGACTCTGTGACAGTCAAGAACAACCAGCCCAACTGGCCCCCGCAGTCGCCCGTCGAAGCCCTTCTCAGCTCGCCATCTGGCCGTAAGAGGTACGAGAGCCGCCGCCAGCGCGACTCCGCATCGCCGTCTCCCTCGAAACGCCGCCCAATGTCGCGCGGAGGTGTGCCAGTCGGCAGCGACGGAGAGGAGGATGAGGAGACGCTCCAGCTGCAACTCCAGGCCATCGAGGCTAAGCTGAAGCTGAAGGCGCTGCAGAAGAAGAAGAACGAGTCCCAGGATCTGGATCGAAATGGAGCGTCATCACGAGCGAGCATGGCCACCAGCATGCGCAGAATCGACCTGCCGCGGCCCGAGACCAGGCAAGAGACCGACGTCGAGGTACCACGATCACCAGTACGGATGCGACAAGCGCCAACCGAGCCGAAGAGTCCTGCGCGCGTCATGCTGGGCATAGACAAGGGACTCACAGCCCGCGACGTTAGTCTCAAGCGGCCGGGAAGTGCAGTCAGCGGGCGCATGTCGCGGCTGGGCTCGTCGAAAGAGGTCGAGCCGCCCAAGATCAAGTCCTTCAGTGAGCGCATCGCAGAGAACAGGAACAAGGAAAAGGAGCGCGAAGAAAAGGAGGACAAGGCCGAACAGAGACGGAGTAGGGGATTTGGGCTGCAGAACATCGAGGCGCTGAAAGACCGGCCGTCGCTATCACGTACCAGCTCGTCTCAGAGTACCGACACCAAGACCTCACGCGACATGCCTCCGCCGGCTCTGAGGAATCACAGTCGAACGCAAAGTCTACAGAATCGTACATTTGGGGGTCCGCCCACTCCACGACCAGGCTCCACATTGTCCTTCAGGCCTGAAAGTTCCCGCCCAACCTCGTCCTCTTCCAAGGCTACGTCTAGCAGCTTTGGCTCAACACCGACCGCCACAAAATACGCCGAGATCTCATCACGCGACGAAAGCGCAGATGCTCCTAGTTTCGAATCTTTCTCTGGTCTCCACCTCAAGTCGAGAGAAATGCAACACAATGTGGTCACCCGTACCCTGGAAGGCAAGACAGTCCTTACTATACCACAACTCTTGAAGACCGTCAAGGCGCCAGAATACGATCCGCCAGATTGGGAGAACGATTATGTTGTTCTTGGGGTCATCTGCTCCAAGTCGACGCCACAAAACTCCAAGAACGCCGCGAAGGACCAGACCAAAGGCAGCCAGGACAAGAACTTGGACCAGAACGGCAAATTCATGGTTATTCGTCTCACGGATCTCAAATGGGAGCTCGATCTATTCCTGTTCGACACTGGTTTCTCGCAGTTCTGGAAACTCCCTCTTGGCACGCTTGTTGCTATCCTCAACCCGGACATCATGCCACCAAGGAATCGCGACACCGGCAAGTTCTCACTGAAATTATCAAGTTCAGACGATACCATCCTTGAACTTGGCACAGCGCGAGATCTAGACTTCTGCCATGCACAACGGAAAGACGGCAAAGAATGTGGTCAGTGGATCGACGGTCGCAAGACTGAGTTCTGCGAGTTTCACATCCAACTCCAGGTAGACAAGGCCAAGAAAGGCCGCATGCAAGTCAACACCATGACCGGATTTGGTGGAGGACCAGGCGGCGGCATGTTTGGTCGACGCGGTGGCCCTAAAGGTGATGAACTCAAGAGGGAAGGCAAGTATCACGACCGCGAACTCCACGAGACCGTCTACATCGCACCCCGTCCCGGCGGCGCAGCCAAGCTCATCGACCGCGACCACCAAAACTGGGAAGGCGGAGCAGGCCGAGAAGACCGCTTCCGCAAGCAACTCGCCGAAAAGGAGAAGGAAAGAGAACTAGCAAAGAAGCTCGGCACGATGGGAGATGGCAGCACCGGCGGTGACTACATGAAGCTCAAGGGTGCTGGTACACAGAATCTCCCTGCAAGAGGGTACACATCGTCGCAAGGTTCCTCAGGCGCAAAGCCCGACAAACCAGCCGATGTAGACTTTACCAGTCTACTCAACCGTACGTCAGCCGATGTTTCTTTGGCGCCTGTTAAACGTAAACGAACAGCATCGGCGAAATCTTCCAATTCGAGCGACCCCGTCGGCTGGGGATTCAAGTACGGCCGTATACCATCACCGAAGAAGGACACTTCTTTCCCTTCTGCATTCCGCGGTACACGAGAAGCCAGTCCAGCAAAGAAGAAGGCGCGTCTCTTGCTAGCTGGAAAAGGCATCCGCGAGCCAGGACGCGAGAGTCTGGGCGGTCTCGACGCTGGCCTCATTGCTGCCATGGACGACGATGATGACGATGATTTGGAAGTTGTTTAATTCTTTTGGAAAACACTAGGGGAGGCATACACAAAAAAACATGAGGGGGAGGGCGTTTGGGTAACAACAGCTCGCTGATTGGCTAGAGCTAAGCGAGCAATGGGATGGGGCATTTCGACTTTTCTGGGCTGATGGATACCGAAGGCTTTAGCGTGGAGCGAAGCCGCATTAACGACTTTCCTTTTGTTTTTACTTGTACAATATTATACCCGTCTTTGTTACGCTGAATTGTATACTGCGTTTACCTTACCAAGACTTCGAAGTGTAGTTTTCGAAGAGGTGTGAGAGACATCTGACTGTACCAACGACGCACGTGCGACCACGCCATTGAAGGAAAGAGCAGGACCACCAACTTCCAAACTCAACTCACACCAACATGGCGGCCCCAGACTCTAATACCACGGACAACAAGATCTACGCCCTCATAAACTACGAAGACCCCTACGTCCAACCCCTCATCCTCGCCGCCCTCCAAAAACGTCTCCCAGAATCGTCCTATAAAATCATCACCTCAGTCTCTCAGCTCCCAAGCCCATCATCCCCCCTCCTCCAATGGGTGCAATACGAATCCATCGACTTCGACCACCTCCTATCCAACCCCTCCACCACCCTCTCCAACGCCTACATAATCCGCAAAGCCTTAATCCGGAAACACTACCTCAGCACCACCATCGCGAATTGGATTACAAAGTACCCGGATAGTGTGTTGAAGAGGCATGTGAAGCCGAGTGTGGAGTTTGAAGTCGATTATGCCGAGTTTTTGGATGATGCGTTGGTGGAGGCGTGGGAGTTGAAGGAAGCTTGGGGGAGGAATGAGAGTCAAGAAGATGAGAAGAAGAAGGAATGGTGGATTCTTAAACCAGGGATGAGTGAGAGGGGGCAGGGGATTAGGTTGTTTAGTAGTGAGGAGGAGTTGGTGGGGATTTTTGAGGAGTGGGATCCTGAGAGTGATGATGAGGATGAGGAAGAGGAGGATGCAGATGCGAGAAGTGACGCCGGCGGCGGTATTGGCAGTACTGGCGAGAGGAAAGCGGAAAAAGAAGAGGGAAACGGCATCATAACATCCCAACTCCGCCACTTCATCGCACAACCTTACATCCACCCCCCTTTACTCCTCTCCCCCCCCTCCCCAACCCCAACCCCTTCCTCTCCCTCTCCGCTCCGCAAATTCCACATCCGCACCTACATCCTCGCCACATCCGCTCTCCAAGTCTACATCTACCGCCCCATGCTCGCCCTCTTCGCCGCACGTCCGTACGTCCCGCCTTGGGACGACGTGTTACAAACCGACCGCGACGAAGCCATGCGCGCGCATCTGACGAATACGTGTTTACAAGAGAGCGGGGATAGGGAGGGGAGTGTGGGGTTATTCTGGTCTCTGCCCGACTCTTTACCTGCACAACCCGACCTCGGGTCTGTCAAACTAGAGAGTAAACCGGACTGGAAGGATAAAGTGTTTGAGCAAATCAAGTCAACGACAGGCGCGACGTTTGAAGCTGCAGCCCGCGGCATGTCGATTCATTTCCAACCGCTGCCTAATAGCTTTGAGATTTTCGGGCTGGATTTCATGGTGGGCATTGAACCGAATGGACAGCTGAACACGTATCTACTGGAGGTGAATGCGTTTCCGGATTTTAGGCAGACCGGGGAGGAGTTGAGTGGGATGATTGAGGGGCTTTTTGAGGGTGTGGTGAATAGGGGTGTTTTGCCCTTCTTTGGGGTTGAGGCAAAAGGAGGAGAGCGGGAGGATGGGATGGTCAAGGTGCTGGATATTGATCTGGGACGGCGATGAGAAGGGGGTGTTGTGGAGAGATGGGACAGGATGGCATGGTCACAGCAAATAAGTTTGGTCAGAGTTATCACTCGTATTTTTCCCTGATCTATATACTACGTTCCCTTCCATGTCCTCCCATTACCGTCGATTCAACCACTAAGCACCGTATACCAGCTCGGTGTCTGTTCATCGAGACGCCCAGATACCAAGCCTCCGCATACCGTGATCCCGCAGTCAAATCCGAATTCCCTACTTACTAACTAAGTTACTCTGGCCAACGCACATATGCGTGCTGTCCAGTAAATTTCCCAGTCGAAACACCGATTACAATGCCTTCTCGGCAAAGAAAGGCGTCCACTACCCTTCAGTACCAAACAAACATTAAAGGCCGTCAGTAATGCGAACCTTTTCGTAATGTAATCGTGGGTATCCTGATCCTGTTCCCCGACTCGCATAGGTCGAAGAACACAAAAAGCAAACGCTCGCTATGCAAACAATCAGTCACAAAGGACCTGATGCAAAAGATGAGTTGGGAACGCTTGGTGATAGCATCTCAACACAAGCTACGATGAAGACTTGTTCAAGACGAACGGGCTGAAGGCCGTTAGATGTTGTCAATTGACATAGATGAGGTGGAGTGCTCACTGCGAGCCCGCTTGTCTGCTGCCTCGCGCTCGAGCGGCTCACCGCTGCGCTTCTTGGATGTCTTTGTGGAGCTGCTGGAGCTGTGCGCTGACTTGACACGCGACCAAGAGTCAAACGAGATCTCTGTTACTGTATAAGCGGTGGTTTCACTGGCGAAGATAGAAGAGACTTACCCTTCTTGAGCTTGCGGGTCGTAGGCGGCGGCGATGTAAGTAGCGATGGGGTCGGGACGGCGTTCTTGCCCTTCTTGCGACTCGGGGTAGCGACGGACGCATCGATGTCGGTGGTCGCCTCCTCGTCGTCGGTCTCAATACCGTTTGCGCGGTCGCGCTCTTTGATCTCTGCTTGGAACAGAAGGCGGGGTTTGATAGACGAACGAGTAAGCGGGCGACGGGCCTCATAGCCAATCTGACGGCGGACTTGCTTGTCATCGGCGGAGAGGTCGTCGTCTTCCTCTGCCGCTGAGGCGCCGGAGGGTGCGTCGTCGTGGAACTTGCGGAATACCTTGCGGCCTCGGAAGATGTACACCATGCCTTCGTCACGGTCGACAGCCGCCTCCATCTTGGCAGTCTTTCGGTCGACGGTTTTCCTCGACTTTTGAGGAGCGGCCTTCGCCTTGCCCTTACCCTTGACGGTGATGAACGGGTTATCTTCAGTCTGAGCACCAGGAGTGGGTACGCGCTCCTTGGAGTCGGTGTAGATGGGGATCTTTTCGGTGTTCTCGTCCATCTGCTGGGCGAAGCTCTCTAGAGTGTAGAGGTTCTTGGTCTTGCGGCCCTTGCGCGGGGTCGGCATGGCTTCGTCGATGGTTGAAGGTCGGTTGGCAGGGAACAATACGCGCGCGGTCGAGCTGACGTCTTCGATGCGACGCTTGCGCGGCGTCTTTGCGGGAGTGGGGAGCATGCCCTGTGGAGAAGTTAGCATGTTAGGTTGTAGTAGGTGTGGAGGCCGTCCGGCACTCGACGCGGTTGTTTGTCAACCGCATCGGGCCCAGGCGGTCACCTCAGATAACATACAGGAGCCATGTTTGCAAACAGGGTGCGCCGGGACGAGCTTGGTGCAGCCGTGTCGGAGTCAGAGTCGAGCGGGTTGAGGTCCAAGGGCGCGCGACGGGTCGAGCGTGGAGAGCGGAGGTGTTGGTGTTGTGGGGATGCAGGCGACGACGGGGGTGAGAGTGCAAAGGAAGCGTTTGCGCGGGCTGCAGAACGCTTGGCGTGAGAAGAGGCCGTTGGCGTGATGTCGCGCCTGGTCCGTGGGCTGGACCGCTCCTGTTGGTGAGTGTGAGCGTCGTGCTGGGCGGCCACTCTGCGCGATCGGCGCGGTGAAAACGGCTCGTAGTTGTCTCCATACAGCGGCGCGGGCGGCGTGTGGACACGGCGGGGCGGGGACGGCGTGCGCTCCATGTTGGGTGGGATGATGCGGGTGTTTGTTTGGGATAGGGCAGTTGTGGTGTTGTTGTAGCAATACAGGGCGAATTGTGGATATCCAAAATCAAAACAATGCCACAGCAAGCTCGATGTCGCAGCGCCTCAACGTTGGGTTGACAATGGATGCAGTATCGATATGCGCGCAAGTGGAGATGGCGGTAGGGCTGGTGATGGTGAAGGTGAAGGACAAAGCCGGGTGGAGACAATGGGCTATGTCACGACGGGGAATGAAGGAAGTCGCGAGGTTGGGACGGCAGGTGCAGATGGCTGGTGCTCCTTCCTTGGCGCAACGCGGAACATCAACAAACCCCTGCTAACCGCTGGCCCCGCCAAACCAAATACGTCAAACACGCCAACGCTGTCAGTCGTTGAAACTCACCAAATCAATTCGTCTAGACGAGTCCGACACAATACACAGCACCTTGAACACAGCATGGACCCGCCGAACCTGGGCGCGCTTGACCTCTCCGACTCGGACACGGACGCGTTGTTTGACACGCCTGCGGCACGCAAGACCAAGAAGCAGACAAAAGATGCGGACAATGATGCAGCAAAGACACGGTCAAAGGAGTCGCATTACACGACAGAAGAGGCGCGCGAGGCAGCATTGCGCAGGGAGTTGGAGAGCATACGAAACGTCAACAAGGTTATCGAGGGTGTGGTAGAAAGCCTGCAAAAGGCCAAGGACAACATGGCTGTAAGGGACAATAGTAGAACTGCCGCAGTCTCTAGACTGACGATGAATAGACTGTATCACGCACCGTCCAAAACGCGTCTACCTTGCTCCAGACATGGACGCGCATACTTTCCCAAACAGAACACAATCAGCGTCTAATCTTGAACCCGCAATGGCAGGGTGCGTCGCAAGATTTGATTGACATCGAGGAGGAAGAGGTACACCGCCAGCAGGCTGCACAACGTCGAGCGGCAGACGAGCAGGCGCGGAGAGAAGCTGCAGCTAGGAAGATAGAAGAGGATCGCAGAAGGGCTGAGGCGGCTCCCAGGGCAGGCACTCGAGGCAGAGGCAGGGGCGTCCGGCCACGCGGTGCTTCGACATCGTCCACAGGGAACTATACCGGCGTAGGCGGACAGACCGGACGTGGTATCAGTCGCAGCGACTCACGAGGTCGAGCAGGCAGCGGCATTGGACGAGGGCTCCCGCGGGGACGAGGTAGAGGCCTGGGCTGATGGGATTGCACACACGCCTTCGCCTCACCTCGAACGCATACATGAAATACCCATTCGACATTTACACCTGGATCGTGTATTTTGCAGTGTGGTGGTATCGAATGCTGAGGTCAGCATAATTTATCGTGCAATTTCGGGTCGCCTCACTGAGCCCAACTCATCTTACCATCGCCGGGCATCCATAGCTTGTCTTACCACGGCCTTTCCCCCCGAGCAACCGCGACACGAGACCTCAAAACCGTACCTGCAGCTCGATGCAGCTCACGGGCCGTTGGTGATGCGGATGCGCTTCTCAAAGCGGCATGGTCTGAGGACCCCACTTGTCGTCAGTTGGACCCCGCCGTGCATTTACTTGAGATCTTGCGACAGTCCGGAGGATTAAATAGATTCTGCTTTTCCTACCCTTCGAGCTGCTTTCCATTTCTCCATTTCTTGCTTTTTGCGATTCTGAACTTCTAGATCGCGCAATGGAGGTCCCGACAGCAACGTCGCTACGCGACATCTACCCCGAAGACGCGCTCCCAGTCGAGACAAAGCGATGGGAGAGCCTACTCGCCAAGTTCAAAGAGCTCTATGGCAAGCAAGCCGACTTTGTCGCTAGGAGTCCTGGACGCGTCAACATCATTGGCGAGGTAAATTACATGCAAGAGGTCTATTACCTGTCGCTAATGATTGCAGCACATCGACTACTCCCTGTACGAGGTTCTGCCCATGGCCATTACCGCCGACTTCATCATGGCCGTAGCTGTGCGACCATCTGAAGAGAAGCCGCGCGTACGGATAGCAAACCTCAACTCCGAGAAATTCCCCACTCGCGAGTTCGACATTCCCGAGGGAGAGATCCCAATCGACGCTACCGAGCATGAGTGGACCAACTACTTCAAGTCTGGACTGAAGGGCGTATCACAACTACTGCAAAAGAAGCGAGGAAAGTTCACATCCGTCGGCATGGACATTGTATGCGATGGCACAGTACCGAGTGGTGGCGGTCTCTCAAGTTCAGCGTCCGTCGTCTGCACAAGCTCTTTGGCTGTGCTGGCTGCGAATGGTGAGGAGAAGATTGACAAGACCGAACTGTGCGAGCTTGCAATTGTCTCCGAGCGTGCAGTCGGTGTCAACTCTGGAGGGTGAGTCTTGCATGACTTTTGCATTACCACAGCTAACATGTCGTAGTATGGATCAAGCAGCCTCCGTCTTCTCCCTCCGCGGCTCGGCCCTATACGTATCGTTCAAGCCCAGCCTAAACTACACAAACATCGAGTTTCCCAAGACCGACCCCGAACTCGTCTTCGTTACCGCTCAGAGTTTCGTCGCCGCAGACAAGCACGTCACAGCCCCCGTGTGTTACAACCTGCGCGTCGTAGAATGCACATTAGCAGCCGTCTTCCTAGCCAAAGCATTCGGCCTAAAGAAAGATCTCCCAACAGACTCCTCCCCCCTCGGCGTCAGCCTCCGCGGCTTCCACGACACCTACTTCGAAGACAAAGAGAACGTCTCCGACAACACCAAGATCTCCGTCTCAGACTTCGAAACGCAACTCACGAAGCTAATCCAACACACCGAAGACTACCTCCCCCAAGAAGACGGCTACACACGCGCGCAAATCAGCGGGCTGCTCGGTATCTCAGAAGACGAATTGAACGAACGCTACATGTCCAAGTTCCCCGTGCGCGCCGAAAAGTTCATGCTCCGCCAGCGCGCCCTGCACGTCTTCACAGAAGCCCTCCGCGTGATCAAGTTCCGATCGCTCCTCGCATC